GGCTGGCGAAACGAGATGAACAATATGCTGGCTGCGTTCGACAGCCAGGCCACAATTTCATTGGGAAAAATTCGAATGTCACTTAAAAGTAGTGGTTTGTCGTTCAACGAAGAATTCAAAAAATATTTTCTGCAGACTTCATATGATCGGTGAGTTAAAGATATCAAAATTCTCAACCATTTTAGAAGAGCTTTACTTTTTCTTATTTTCTTAATGTGTAGAATCAAGCTTACGTATGATCAATTCGAAATTAATTCAATATTTGAAGAGCAAATCGACGGTGTTGCAGATGCAAACATGCTAAGATACAATGGATTCCAGATGCTGAACCCAATTAATAGTGAAGCTCATTACATGACTGAGCCAGTTGGAATTCAGAAGATTGATTGCATTAAAATTGATGACTCAAGCGATGAAGAAGACACCAGTAGAGCACCTGAAATGTTGAGAAATACTTCGATTGAATCTATTCGTATTTTTGCCATGCAGCGACCCACAACTATTATGGACGATCGATCGGGACAACATGGGAAAAGTTTTGCATCGATCAATGATTATGGTGAAAGTCGTATTGGTTCAACCGTTATTAAGAAGCGGACGATTGATCCAAAAATAAGTTCATTTGAAGAAAATTACTACAATAGACGCAGTAACTTAATTGACGCCAACGAAAATGAACTCTTCATTCCAACAGTGATCGAAAGCCAAGGCTCCAGATTGCTCAATAAAAGTTGCAATAATGATGCGCAAGTTGGACACGCTATTGTGAATAAACGCACATCTACTGTTTCATCGAAAATTCGAACAAACGACGTTGGCACCGAAAGGAATCATGCTTTGCAGGTCGAAAATAGCATGACACCTAGATCAATAAGAGAAATGGCTGAATCGAGTGCGACTGCAAAATCATTGGGTTATAAGAGATCACCAAACCACTTGAAGATGAAAAAGCAACACAAGTGCGAATTTTGTGAATATTCCAGCAATCGAAAGGGACACCTAAAAGTGCACACGCGTACCCATACCGGCGAGAAACCGTATCAATGTGATATTTGCCGCAAAGAATTCAACCAGCTGCAGAACCTTAAGAGACACAAAAAGACTCACATCCAACAGCTGCCGTTCCATTGCCGAGGTTGTTTGAATGGATTTTCCCAGAAGGCCGAAAGAGATGCCCATGAAGAAGTGTGCAAAAGACGTCGGTATGAATGTCATATCTGCAAGAAGTTTGTCACTGTTGATATAACTGACTTGAAAAGGCATATGCAAAAGCACAACGGTGAAAAACCGTTCCAGTGCGAAATTTGTATGATGTGTTTTACGCAAAAATTCAATCTGAAAAGACATTTGAATACCATCCACAGCAGAATCAACGCATAAATTCAATCCATCAATTCCATTTCACTCATTACTGTTAAATAAATTTATCATGTCGATCGACA